GCCATAGGGTTACGTGACCAGTGATCGCAATGAAATCTTGCAGCATATTGTAGGCACAAAGTGTTCGCGGCCTCCTTCGGTGTTCGTGTGGGTCCATCCGCTGTTTGAGGAGGTAGAATTCTCCGTTGCACTTTACGTCGACTGTTAGAGTGTTGATACAGAAGATGCGGTTTAGGACCATACGCACTGCCAACTTCTGCTGGTACAACATTCTGTCCTCGCGAACGATCTGAGTGCAGTGCTTACGTTGGGTCGTATAGGCCATCTAGTTCCCGGTGCTCGGGGAGAGTTTATAGATATGCCAGGCTGAGTTTCGCACCGCTATACACTTACATGTCATGCTTCGCAGAAACGAGACCACGTTTCCCGGGCGGAAGGTCTTAGTCGCTGAAAGTTCGGCAACCAGAGAGTTAAACTGTCTGACGAAATGTACCCATTCACTAGCTGGTGCCTCGTCTGCCAGAAAGGTCCAGTTCACTGTCTCACCTAATCGAGCTAATAGGTCGTAGCGTATAATCGTTTTTGTTGCATCGGCGATTTCCACAGGATATTATGCACAGCAAATATATTCGAAGAGTAGAACTGCATGATCGCTGCGGCCCAGTGCGACGTCGACCATCACCCTCTCGACAATTAGTACTTCGGTGGTGAATATCCGATCCAGGATCAAAGGCTTATCTTTTTCTCGGAATCTCGTGGGAGTGTTGATGTGGCCATACAGCGGGTAACTGGATACAAACTCTTGTAGATCCGGCTTGAACTGTTCTCCAGGCGATGCTTGGGATTCCGGAGCGTGGATGTTGAAATCGCCAGTGCTATATCCCGAAAAAGCTACAGACCACAGCAACACCGGAAGGTATGTATGGAGAAAACTGTCTGCACACACGCGCAGTACGATTAATTCGATAGAGGTTCGAATCGCAACCAATCAAATGCAAGCTCACTTGATTGGCTAACGGATGCTTAACAGAAGTGTGAATAGGATAAGCGAATCGAGAACAAAAGCAAAACAAAGTATTTGAACACGACATAGTCCCGTCCTTTGTTCGTAAAAATATAAACACTACGATCTAATTTAATGTCTGCACCCTGAAGAATTGTCACGTGGTGTTATCCGTTAAGCGGTTTCGGTGTACAGGACGGCGTATCCGACCGGAATGTCGCAACTTTGTATTAATTTGAACCGAGCGCTGTGTTGTAGGTTTGTTCATCTGTTCAATAGCCCGTTGGGAAAGCGCACGAAGATCGGTGCATAGAAAAATAGAGCCATCTTTCTTTCGGACAGTAACTAGTGGGTGAACCCATTCAAGACACTCTATGGGTTCTATCAAGTCTTCCGTGACCACTTTTTCAAAGCTTGTGACAGCGCCTCCCACTTGGCCAGAGGTACATGCCTAGGTTGAGAAATGCTGAACCGTTTGTAGTTCGCGCTCAACCGAATGCGGTGCATTGCTTTAGGGATTCTACCGATATCCGGAAGAAAGAGATTTGGGTAACTGGAACGTAACGAATGAAGGTTGGCGCTGGCAATGGCCACCCGGCTGACGCATGGTGATGCGTTCAGTAAGACCATGGCATTACGTCCTAATAGAGGCTTACTACCAGTTTTAGAGACGTAAACTTCAACTATACGTTTACTGCTGTTTATAAGAAACATTGAAACCGAAACAAAACCGAGTATGTGGACATCACCATTTGAGTAGCTGCTGAAAGTGTAAGCGGAAGGATGTACAGTTAGTTAACCTAAATGCTGTTTTTAAGAACCATATGGCACAATTGGAATTGGTGACGCGGAATCTAGTTCCATGTCCAGACAAATGGATTTGTTTCTAACTTCAAAAAACACGACGAATATCTGGCGAATGCAGTTCGGGTATTTGCATTGGAGACGAACATAGATGTTCGCATTCATTACCAGGATATATTGATTGTTCAGTGGTGACCGGAGAAGATCTAACACCATTTTCAGAAGCAACTAAAGAAATGGCGCGGGGACGACAAACCAGAGCAAAACGACTGGACTTATCGCAATGCCGGCAGATTGCACTGTTTGCAGGACATGACTTATCATTTGCATGATGTTCAGCATTTCCACAACAGTAACAATTATTTCTACCTGAGGGTCGCGTCAGAGGGCTGTAGAATCCAAACGGTCAATTTCGCTAGCTCCTTGTCTCACCTCAAGGGCGAGAAATATATGCTCAGATGTAGCTCTGGAGGATGAGATGAAGTCCATCCAGAAAGATTCATTCAGCGCAACATTCAGCCCAAAATAACACCGGTCGTTAAGGACGTAGTCAAGCAAAAAGAACCCTTCATCCGCCTTGGTTTTAAAGGTGATAAAGTTAGTGAGCTTGTAACAAGAAAACTGAAGCAAGCGAAAAGGAACACCTTTCCAACTGCAGAGTTACGATGCATCTTCGCCACGAATCAGCTAATTCCTGTGTGCAACATGGACAGACTGCCGAAGCTGACCTCCTCTTACCTTATCTACCGATTTGAGTGCACTTGTGGGGCAACATACATTGGTCGGACAGCTCGTCAACTGTCACGTCGCATTAAGGAACATAGCCCTAAATGGTTGTTGAACGGGGGCACCGGAGTGCTTACAAGCGGTATTTTTTCTCATCTGTTCGAATCAGGTCACCAGATTAACCTCCCGAATGCCTTTACTTTGATTTATCAGGTTCCAATAAGCAAATCGAAAGGTACGCGGTTAAGGATGCCCGCCACTGCAGAGGCCATTGCGATTCGCAAATTCCAACCCGCGCTGTGCTCGCAGAAAACGTTGGTTCAATCTCTATACCTGCCATGGCCGAACAGCCATCAGCTTAGCCGTCACCCTGACATCGGCTCAGGCATTGGGCTTACGTAACCCTCAATCGATTTGTGTGCGTGAGACAGCGGCGAACTATTCGCTGTCTAACCATTGACCGAATCAGTTCAGACCAAACCCCCGAACCAATCACTATCCTTCCATTTGTAATTTAACCTTATATGATTGTACCGGCCCGTAGATGAATCATTGAAAACAATTGTTTGCCTCTGACTGATGTACTTGATGAATCACTGAGAATGTCCCATTTGTTACTCGTATTAGCTGAGACTCCCCATAGTGATTCGAGGTTGGATGTCTAGTGATGCACGTTATGTTAGTCGGACTGACTTGAACACCGATTTCCTCACAAAGGAAGTTTCATTGAATTAAATCATCCAGCTGCTTACCCCTTAAGTAGTTTGCCTTGGACTCAGGAACATTAAGGCATATAACTGCCAAGGCCCCCTAGTTCCGCCTGGTCTTCGCTGATTTAGGAAGCACGGTTATCGAGGGATTTAGTGACGTCTCTGTAGGTTGCACCGGGTGTTTGACCCGTTTTGTGGCTGTACTGGGTGAAGCTTTGATTATGGAGAATAGGAACGATTGCATAGGTGCATCGGTCATTAGAGCACTTCCGATTTCGTTGGTCAGTCGGAAGGGTGGGTGTTACCGATGTTGCATCAGTCGGTAGATTGGGTAAGAGGATGTGGGCGAGGGGGCTAAACATGCTCTTATCGGTCGCGATGACAACTTGGTTCGTCTTTCCAAGGTTTCTAGTACTGCTTGGCCGTGTGAACGCCTGGCCCTTTTCCTTGGTTTCGATGCAGCGACTGAGGGAGGCGAAGTAGGTGCAAGCTGCTTTATCGTCGCCTCGAGTGGAGCAATTTTTGCTTTCAAACGATGTTCAGTTTCGGCGACTAGGCTGTCGAACATTTGAGCTGTGACTAATATGCGTTTTATTAGGGGAACCGTCGTGCACTTCGGACAGAACCAAAGTGAACCCCGCATATTTTATTTTTTTATGTCGGTTCTACTGACGTTGACGCATTTCGTATGGTATCGGTCTTAGCAATTTGTGCAAGTCAACCATCCACTTACTACCTTAGCACAACTATGTTTGGCACAAAATACTTCGTTTCGGGTTACCAGTGTGGCGGTTATGATACCGATTACCGTGGAAGAAGTCCAAGACGGCGGATACAGACGGCAGTTGGGCCAATCAAGAAGAAGTCCGAAGTTGGTTAGATAAGATGCACCAAATTCGCACAGACTGAAGCATACACCAAGGGAAAACTATTTGTGCAGTATACACAGCAAAACACGTATAACAGAGTAATCCGGAAGAAAAAGTTGAATCTAGAATAGCTATCTCAAAATCCGCGGCCTTCAGGGGTACATCCAAAACGATATCTTTAATCAAGAGAAATGCATTCGAGGTTTGTGTTAACGTTGTACCGGGCAACATTTTGCTGAGTGACCAAAATTCATCCCATACATTTATCACTGGGATGTCAAGTGGCACAAAAACGGTCACTCATGGCGTTGCAACGGTCAATCCAGCGGACACTTTTCAGTCAATCGTGTTATGCGGGAAGGCCACGCTGGAAATTTTTGTTATTGATAGAAAACAGTCTTAATGTCTTCTACTGGGGCGGCCGTAAACACACAAGTTTTATTCAAGATACCACAAAAGTTACTCCAGCATAACAACTTGGTAACTTGTGCCATGCGAGCATCTGTATAACGTATATCATCAAGTCTACATTTTAACAGTTGTATATTTATGTAGAGAGATTGCGTGATACGGAATATGCATAGCTTTCTTTGTAATATTCAAGAAGTGTACCTGTCACTGTGGCCAGATTCTCCTCACTCTACCAAAAACGGCTGCGTAGAAACATCTTGTAGCTGAACACTTCATGAAGTCTCCCTCTTTTCGTACAACGGAAGAATTATGCAACCCCAACCATATGTATTTTCAGGGCGTAGGGAGAATTAATAGGTGAGGTTAACTATGGAGGATGCCGCAAACCTCAGCAGTTACTCAATATTTATCTTTGAACCTGCTGATTGCACGAGGTAGTTGGATAGAAGTGGCTGATTATGGCGTCGGAATTGACGTCATCTATCTGGACTTCTCTAAAGCCTTCGAGCACCTGGATCACCGCATCCTACTTCACAGGCTACAGAGCTGCGGAATCGGAGTTCCTGCTCTTGGTCTGACTGACAACTTCCTTCACCAACGGAAGCTTCGAGTGCGTGTTAATGGATAAATCTGTGCCCCGATTGAGGTGGAAAGTGGTGTTCACAGGGGTCAGTGCTGGGACCGCGCTTATTCCTGGTGTTTGTCAACGACCTGGCAAGACTTATCTCCTCAAATTTCCTGCTTTTCGCCCATAAGGTCAAGATATTGCAGGCGCTTAATAACAATGAGGATCACGATGTACTCCAGCATGATCTGGATTTCATTTATGAATGGTCAACGTGAAATCTGCTTGAGTTGAACATAGCTAGGTGCAAGGCATTCCATCTGCATCGCCAGCCAGTGAGCATTTACCAGCTTGGAGACCACACCTTGCAGAAGGCTTCACATGTGTGACCTGGGTGTACATTTACAGGAAGATCTTGGAAGCTGAAAAAAAGCAGAGAAGGCGTCGAGAACTGTTAATCAACACTTCGGCCTTCTTCGCAGAGCGTTCGATCGGTTTGAACCCTCCATTTCCCCCAAAATGTTTAACGCCTAAGTGCGACCGCAGGTGGAATTTGCTAGCCAGGCTAGTCAGCCGTTGGAGAAACAGGGTCTTGTTGCTCTCGAAGCCCATCAACCAAAGTCAACAAAGGACGTAAGAACTCCTTTCATCTTCTCTATCAGTTTAGAATGTAATCTCTAAGAATGTACAGTAGTTGATATCGACGTTGCGGGGATCTCATAATTATTTACCAGATTCTGAAGAGCCCAACCCACATTTACCGTCCGCTGCTGGAATTTAACCACAACACCAACCTAGGAGGTCATCCTCTGAAACTGAAATTACAGTATAGCCGGCTTGAGTGCCGTGGAAATTGCTTTTTTCTCCGCGTGTGCCAGCGTTGGAATGCCCTCCCTTAGTATGTTGTCCCTGCTCCCAATCTGGCGATATTTCGAAAGCGATTTGACGATGCGTTGTCTCATTTGTTTTTCATTTTATGACTTGTTAGCCAGGGGCTACAAAACGCAATCAAACGGTGTCTTGCCAAATTCTCAACCAGTGGTTTCATGGATCTATACTCTTACTACGCGGACATCTCGCTATTCTACATAAGTCTATGGTGAGTTCACCAAAACGCTTTTCATTTTCTCACGCAATTTAATCTGCACAATAATTTCCATCCCACGGGACTTATTAAGCATTGCTTTTTTTTACCCGTACTACACCAATGTCCCATTGACTTCTAACCTGGTAATGGAAAAGCTGATCCATGATTTTCATAATTGGTACAATATTTCACTCAGACACATTCTCTGTCCAGCTTACATGATCTGCAAGCTGACTCTCCTTGTAGACAGTGAAACTGAGCGCAAAGTGCTGATATAAAAGCATTCAGGCAAAGTGACTGGTCCGGACAGGTGTCTCTCCTTAAAAAACCGCTGACTTCTCAGTCATACCATGACCTGGTTTATCCTGAATACTGTACAATAAAGTAAACAGGAATGAATTGTGTACAGCTCTTTCGAAATATGGTGAAAAACGTTATAAAATTTTCAGCCGTGAATATCGTTACCGTTCTCATGTAACATTTAAAATATCTGACGCACGGTATTGCAGGAATCACAAATGTGATATGTCATCGTAAGGGTGCAATCGTTCTCTGAAACAAATAGTGGTAAAATATAAACCTAACAACGTTTTGAACTGCTGCACAGAGGTTGCCTCCGTTACATGTTCAGGCAAACTGCTCCAAATATTTACCACTCTCCGTTCGAAGCACACTGGGTGGGGAACACGATTCATATTCAGCACGACAAGTTTGTATCTATGTCCGCGAATGTTGCATTGCCCTCGTAAGTACTGCATTGGCCTCAGCATGGAGAAGCCACTGAGATTTAGCATACGGTAGGTCATAATGAGGTCCACTTGCACTCGACGTTAGGACAAGATTTAGTGTCCTAGTTTCTCGCACTGATCTTCATACCCCAAACCACGTAAGCTCGAGATGAGCCTGGTAGCAATGTGTTGGACTTGTTCGAGCTTTTGTGCGTCGCCTCGGGTAATCAGAAAGTCGTCGAGCGGACCATACTCTAGCATTGGTATAATGATGAAAGCGAACTAGCGAGTGGCAACCTCTGCAGACCATGTGCCGAAGCTATGTTTGTGCGCCCAAAGCATGCTCAGTACGTTACGATACTACCTGTTCGTGTTGTCCACGGACTTCAACTCGTAGCGCAAGAGTACATCTAGGTCCTCCACGTAGAGTGTGAGATATAGCGGGTGGCCGTCAAGGGTGTAGGTTCGGTCGTCAGCACCCTTCCCCAGGTTCATAAATACAGACTTGGCTGGGTTGACCGGGAGAAGAACTTCTGCAGACCATGTGGATAGGCGGTTGAGGTCTTGCTGAAGTACGTCACAGTCGTCGGCGGTGTCTATTGCTCTCCAAATCTTCATGTCGTCCGCGAAAAAGGCACACGGCGACCGGAGAAGCTGAGGTAGATCATTGCTATGGACCAGGAACAGAGTGGGCCCCAGCACAGTGCCTTGAGGCGCGCCAGTCGTAGAGAGATACCAGTCTGTTGGACGGTCATCGACCTGTACCTTCCACTTTCGTACAACAAGATAGTCGCGAATTTACCGGTGCAGTGGGCCACCGACACCACACATCCTGAATTTGTGAAGGAGAACCTCATGGCTGACCTTGTCGAACGCTTTACTGAAATGGATGAACATCACGTCGACAGACTCCCAGCTTGCGTGGGCATAACAAAAGATTTCCGTTTATTGGGGAAGTGAAATTAGTACAGCGATATCAAAGAAAGGATCAAGTAAATATTAACCAACAGTTGGCACTTCTGTAGCCTTAAAGGTTTTCGAGAAAAGCGCTCATCAGAAAATGTGTAAAAACGTGGTTGAACAAATCTCCTCATTTTGCCTCCCGTAGTTTGACTTCGACGAAAGACGTCGTGGCTTTCTTTGTGTATACAGTTACGTCGTGGCTAGACAGTGGAATCAAGTCCATGCAAATCTATTTTCTTGCTTTCAGCAACGCATTTGACTGCGTAAACTAAGAATTACTCTGAAAGATCAATGCGGCGCTGCGATACATCCTTACATCATCCTCCCGTTGATGAGCTATTTTGTCGATGGTATTCAGGTTACTAAACTTAGAGGCATAAACACCTAGACGTTACTCATAAACGGCGGTATCCCTCAAAGAATTTTTACGTCACCAGTTCTGTTTTGAATTTGTGTCCGCTCGTCACTAATATCTGAGGAGGCGTCCCTATTGAATTATGCGGATGACATTCTCTTGGGCGTCAATCAATTGACAACGGTCAGTTCAGCCAGCTTGTAAGGTATTCTGAAAAATCTTGCGATTTAATCAAAAGCCCGTGAACTGTCACTTAATGAGTCAAATAGCAGAGGTATTATTTTCGCTACGTTTAGGAGGTCAGTATAAATAGTTTCTTACACAGTGCCCTAAATTTTATATCGGTGGCGACAGGTTGCCCCCATTTACATTACTAAACTATGTAGATGTCATACTTAACTACGGTCTATCTTAGTCATATCACATGTAAGTAAAATTTACAAAAATCAGGTCGTCCTCTGACGTCTTTCGTTTGTGATTATCAATTTCTCGCTCGTAATTTATACGTCGACTTGATATTGCTCGCGTTTCTCCACTCCTGGTTTATTGATCTTATCTGATTTTCTCTGGACAACTGGGTAATCAGTTCAGGACAATCGCCAAGCTCTTACAAGACATGTATTTTGTGCAGCGGTGTTCCAACGGGGACCGCTGTTGACAAAGTTTTATTTACTCCTATTAATTATCGCAAGAGACTCCTGTCAGTGATGCTAATCGACGCAAGTTGCCACATTCCCAGCGCACTTTATGAATTTGTACTAATTTCGTAAACCAGGCATAAGTACATGTTGTTATCGGTTGTTACACAGACTAACGTACGTTAGCTATGTACCATGTAGCGTGAATCTTAATAGACTTTAACAAAGTCATCTGAGAACGTACCAGGCGATTTATGCTATACGGTTTTGTGTTTGTCCCCTATTAAACCGCCTCTCCCTGTATTTTTAACGCAATGCCTCGTTCGCTACAGTGATTAAATAGCGTACGTCAAACATTTGAATATTTGTCTGCTTTTTGTGCATAAAACATTCATTAGGCTTTACATCATCACCTTAAGCTTACAATAATCCCTAGCTCATCCACCAGTAAGAAGTTTTGAGAGATAAATATAAAACATGATGCTTTACTTTCAAAGCATTCGTTCATAACAAAATAATAATAGAGCTGCAGTAGTGCACCTTTTGTCTAGACTATCTGCAAACCTTATCTTTATGGCCTGTACTATCTCAATACTGTTAGCTCTAGCAGATTGTCAGTTTACTTTCGGTAGAGTAAAGAAATTAGGCCTCTTCTGATTCAAGACATTTGACTCCCGACAATTGTCAATAAGCCTTTCATTTGATTGTGTATCCCGGGTACTGACACGAATTGGCAAGCAGTGTTCAGAAAATGTCCTGTTAAAAACTATATGATTAATCAAACGTCTGCGTTAAGTAAAAACAAATGGCCTTAGTTTATTGTATCGACATCATTTCAATTACTTTTGTGTTAGTATTTTGCATAACTAACTGTCAAATTATGTGATGCACTCACTACCTGTCAGCTGTGCATCACATGACCTAAATAGTTTTGAACTGCCTTACACTTAGGTAGCTCAATATACTAAGGCTGGGTCTAAGCCTGGCAAAATTTCTTACTTAATTGAAAACTGTTTCCTTATACTCAAGTACGTTGAGCCATCTGAACTTTTCTCTCCGTAGTTAACCCGAGTAAATAGTGTGTAAACGTAGAATAAAGAGAAGGATAACGAGAGACGGGTAAAGAGAGAAGCTTTTAAAATAAAACTGATGCACGGTGTTGGGCGGAAAGCAAGTATTTACTCAATAGGGATACAGGCTAAACTCCTTTTTGCATACATAATCTTACAACCCACATCATTACAGATCATGGATCATGTGGTCACCTGGTCTATTCTGGCTTCCATATAAATCTGACAAGACTTTACTACTTTCTTAAGGACTTATATAAGCATTCACGAGCTCGCTCCTTCATTACACTTCTCACGTATCGCTGTTAAAGAGATTATGTAGTTTACCATTTGCTTATTTCTAGTATCAGACACTCCTTCAGATAAGCATAAGTGAAGCTGATACCCTGTTGAATCTCAAAGTTAATATAGTTATTCCGACCCTTATTACAAAAATTGGGAACCGTCTACATTCTGAGAAAGACCTAAACTTCCTAAGAGCTTCTAGGATAAACGAATTTATATTTCAAATTTGGCTACGCCGTATATACCAAAAATACCCCCCGTAATCATAAAGTAGACTTAACTCCATAACTTTACCAAGCCTGATCAAAAAACATCACTAGTCGCTGTCCCTTTCGGTAAGAAAAACGCAGAAGTTTGCGTAGTTGTCACACTGCACTATGTATACCCGAATACGTCAAAGCACATTTCAGGCTTGAATACTTTAGTTTCAACTACGGATTACCTGTATTTTTCAAAGTTCATATGAAAGCAATCTAACTTACGTGTATTATTTATGGTTTTTTATGCCCAGTTACGCGTTAGTCCTGGCTGCAGGTCTCCAACCATTGCTAACATACTCTGCATAAACGCCATCTTAATCATGGTTACTACTATTTTGGCTAAAAAGGTAACAGTGTTTCCTTGATGCACTGTGCCCCAAAATAGATAGGAAGGAGTAACTATTGTTTAACATCTGCCAGAGGAACAACGTCGTCAGGCACAGTACCAGTTGAAACCCAGAGTTTGCAATAAATCGGAATACGCCTACTTCGGATTGGCTGTTAAGGCTTTGGTTCGTTGGTCGACCCGGGCAATTTCGTTGTAAACGCTTAATCACCGGTCGAGGTGACTTTATCAGTGCTTTGTCAAGTAATAGCAATCCTGATGAGTTGGTTGTCGTACCTTGATCGATGAACCCTTGTTTCATATTAATGCCACAGCTTCTAGACCAAATTCTACCATTCATCGATTCAGCCTGCATCCTGATAACTCA